GACGCAACAAAATACTACGATTTACCTGGTTAATCAAACAATCGACTTCGACATCAGACTTGTCGTTCAGCAGGGTATAAAGAGCGATCGCCATTCCGTCCCTTGCCGAATAATAAATTCGTTTGACCAGCGACTGCTGGGGCTCGTCGATTATCTCGCAGGTAGTGTCCATCCTCGTGAATGGCTCGTGCCCGAGCAATGTTCAGGCGGTTCAGGAAAAGAATCAGCTGAGTCCACTCAGAGACGTGGTAACCTCAAAACTCATGTTCCTCGCTCATCAGCGCGCGGAAAATACATCGCACGTTATCGTCGTCACTGCCGCAGTGTCGCCATCGCCACCGCCGTCGTCGTCGTCGCGATCTATTTTAAGATTGTGTTGCACGCAAAAATATAGCGATTTCGAATGCAAAAATAAACCGCGACAAAGCGGTTTTTACGCGGCGTCGCGAGCCCCTTTGTGACTTTGTCGCTACGACGTCAAACGTTGATATGCCATGAGGTCCCCGTTCGCCTTCGCAATCGTGTCACTCGTTTGAAAGTACAGCAGTTCGCTGAACAAATCCGAATCATTTACTATTCGTCGCGATTGTTTACTTACGGGAACTTGCGGAAACACTTGCTCCACTTGTAAGCTTCCGATCATCAATGGATCCGACTATCCGAATGTGCATTGGACATGTCACAGTATCGTGACGTCGCCAATTGCGATCGATGACAATCACGGAAAAGGTGTTGGATTGGGCTTTTTGATGTAATTGACGTGAATCGACCAATAACGACGCAACGTTTGTTCTCACCAGTGGAACTTGCGATGAAAATTTGCGCAAATTGCGATTTTCCGCAATATGAATTATGAAGTGATATTTATAAAATCTTGGAATCAATTATGTATCTTGAAAATTACAAGAGCAAATTTCTATTTTTAATTTTAATCTCAACTTATTCAACTTATTCTTTATTTTTTTTTTGATCTACTAAAAAAAGACAGAGTTATTAATTTTAATCCAAGATTAAAATTAAATTACATTGGTAGAAATAAGTATATTAGTAGGGCATAAGTGACGATCAATGAAATTATAAATGTTTATGAAATTATAAATGAATTGGTATTTTATTTTTGGCTCCTTATTTCACAAGATATATAATCAACTTCTTGATTTTATATACATTTATTAATTCTTCGCAGACATAAAGTTTTTAAAGATATCATCGATACTTTGATTGTGAATTCTAGTGAATATATTTAAATCTGTACAAATAAAATACAATCCGATTTTTACGATAGTAAACATTTATTGTTTAATTAAATTCTTTGACAAATATATCAGATTTTGCTCAGATTTATAATCAATATTGCTAAGATGAAAGAATTAAAATTCCATGTTGCTGGATGGTTAAAATCATCTCAAACATATGTATATAATATTCGATATGTTACATAATTATCTAAATTGATGCTACATTTCTTTGTCTAGATGGAATCTGAAAATCGTCTCAAAACAGATTTATAAGATGATATTGGATGAAAACTTGGATTTTATGAATACTGCTTCTTCTAAATTTTACCTCGACAAAAGAAAATGAGAAACGATGCAGTAGACGATATTATAACCGATATACATATATTTATATGCGAACTTGTTGCATATCTCGCGTAAATGCGCAGATATCGTGACTCGTAAAATTTTATCCGCAATGTATGAGAGGGAGAGATTCTTTATAAAAATATTTTTTTCATTGAAGTTTCAATGATAGGATAACTCCATCTACGTTAGAAATCAAATCAAAAACTTTCAAACTTCGAAATTTATTTGTATAGAATTTTTATGAACTTTCATACATTAATAAACTCTATAAATATAAATTATCGTAACATAAATTAATATTAATATATATTCAAATCTACTGCGATTCACAAAACTTATTTTCTATTTGGTACTTGTCACATTATAATTAAATTACAATCATTTTAAGTCGATCTTTTATATATTCTATTTTCAGACATGAGAAATTAATCTCTGTATACATAATACTTCTGTAATACTTCTGTCGCTATACTTTTCATTCTGGATGCACACATATGTAGACAGTTGCAAACAT